GGACTGCATTTTTCTAACTCTTCATATTTTGGGTACACCAATCAGTAGTCTGAATGGAACCATTTGTGGTGGCTTTTAGAAATAAACAAACAGTAGCAACTCCATCAATTTCTGAAATGCTTACTCTCTCAGCATGTGAATATCCCTAAGAGATTAAGTCTCTTCTGAAATTCACATACCTGATAGTTTTGCCCTTTACAACTCTGAAGCATCATCTGTACCATTTAAACTTCTTCTTACCTACTTTCTTGCATTATTTAAATACAGACTACCTTATTTCAAAATGCCGCTTTGACACATTTGGTTTTACTTCTTGAAATTACCAAAATATGCTTCTCAGACCAAAGAAGTTGTCAACAAAACCCAACTATCCAACACCTCATAAGTTAAATTGCACACTGAGCATTGAGAGGAAGGAACTTACGTATTTTGCTTCTACTTGGAACTTTAAAGAGCATCTCAGCAAGTCCATACATAGTATATTATTTGCTATTTACATTTATCAGATAATGTTTTCACATATTTACATGTTTTCCTGTACATACTACTTTATTATCATCATTATTTTTCTATATTAGCATGTGGAAACATAAATTATAAACATAGGAATCCTCTGCTCCCAGATTCAGGTCAGCTTTGCATTGTCCAAATAAAGGTGCATGCACAAAAGCAAACTCTCAGGCTTCTGGGAAATGTACTGACCAAACCATGAGTTTGTTGTTAATCACTGACTGGTGGTGAGTCAAAGTGAGACAGCAGAAGCCCTCTCTTATTATTAGTCTTTTATAATCACCTAGTCTTTAAATCAGTGACTGCCAGGAGCAGGGATGACTAAATTGTCCTTGAAGCATCTCTCCAGTTGTAATCATCTACAGCTTAGGATGTTGAGGATATGGGAACTTTCTGACTGCCTGCTGACCAATGACATTTGTCTCCTCATCAGTAGTTACTTGTGCAGTTCAGCCATTCCTGCCAGATGGACATCTACTTTCATGAGAAAAGTAGAGTACAGGAGGCAGCCGGAGGAGTCTATCAGCTCAGTTTAATCTGTTTGTTTTTACAGATCAATACTCGTGAAATGTAGGAACCTCCAAATTCTGCTAGGGGCAGAGGAAAAAAGAAATTTCAAAATCTCATCTTCTGCACTGGATAATTCTTACCTATACCCAACTTTACAACTCCACTGAAATTAGGTTCTTCGAGACACTTGTGTACTGAAGACTGATGTCACTGCAGTATCCATGCAGTTGAATTACCATATTACACGAGAGATATTTTTGCTGCTTGGCCTCAGTGCTGACTGCTGTCCTATTCTGATAAGGAAGAATTTGCCGATTCTCATCAACTCATACTCAAAAACCATCATCACCATAGCCTCCAAATGCACTTCGCCCTGCACTTCCATTCCTACCACAACCGATTATCAGCCAAGATTTCCAGAACTGATTATTGATATCCTCTTCCTCACTAAGGAAGGTGGAGCTGAAAATACATTTGCCTCTTTGGTAATCCATGAAAAGGAGAAGATTACAAGGGAAAGATAGTGCTATCTAAGTTTTTTTCATTTAGGTTGCTTAAATCAAAACATTACATAATGAACAGCCAATTTAAATAATCAAATTTGCTTTTCCTCAGAGAAATAATATGTATACTCTATGCATTTCAGATGTTAATGAAGGTTAATTCTACAGTATTACCTTCAGATACAAAAAGCATCACATACCTCTTCTCTGACACTCAGAAAAAAACAATCTGTGAGCATTTTACATTTTTGTATCTCAATGCACTATGAAAAAAAGAAAGCGTAAGTGAAGTAATCCATACCTTACCTAACAAGGAACAGAAGAGGTACAGAAGAGTCACCAGGTATGTGTTACATGTGCTAGAAGCACAAAGAACAGCTCCTTTCTAAATATTAGCCCTCCCTGTCTTTCTTTTCCCCTTACTTTCTTCCTTTTGTATTAGGAAATGTGCTGTCAATGACTCTTACAATTGACCACATAATATTAAAGATCTTGAAAACCAAACAACTGGAAAAAAGCAACTGCAAAGTGAGACTGTTCTTAAGTTTTTGTTTATTTTCTTTTTGCTATAAATTATTCTTTATTTTCAGCAATTAACAAAGGCTTTGAATGAGATTTTCTTCACTAAAAAAATTCAATAATTTTAGTCCTGCTGTTATGCTGAGGAAGAAATCAATACTTTTCCAAGATATCCAGGAAGTTACCAGGAAGACCATAGCAGAGTAGACTTCACATTTCTCAAATTTCTAAGTAAAATTCAAATGGGAAAAATATAATTTAACATTCTCTGGAGAAAATAAAGCAGCAAAAAATCTCACGCCAAAGCTTAAAAACATTATTTCAAATCTTCCCTTAAAAAAAAAATAAAATAAAATAAAATAAAATAAGCATGTAAGGGAGTATCATTAAGCTGGAATCCATGGAAAGAGAGTTGTTGTGCTTTGGGTGTTTTTTTGGTTTGGATTTTTTTTTAAGAGCTAGAAGAAATTTCAAGCCTTACACTTGCCTTGGAGCCTCATTTCCAATTTTTGTGGTTTTACAACCACAGTTTCTTATTGCTTTTTCTTTTTTTTTTCTTTCTTTCTTTCTTTCTTTTTTTTTTTTTCCTGAGAGGGAGGAGTTGTTTGTTTGTTTTTCTAAAGTATTTCTCTCTTTCTCTTTGTCATATATGATACCCACACAGTAAACAAGGGAAACTAATACCAAGGGGCATGCCAAGAAACCGTCTATTTGAACCGAATAACATTTTCCCTTCTGCATCACCAGAGCCTATAGGTTCTGCCCAGTATGACTGCTAAAGTGAGAGGGAGACTTTATATGCCTTCCCAACCTGACACAGTCTTGCAGTACCTTAACTTCTCCAATAGTTTGTTTTATAGTCCACAGGCAGAGATTGTAGCTGCGTCCAATAAGAAGTTATAGCAGGCGGTGTCTGTTCTACCCACTAGTGAAGTGGGCAAACATGTCCAGTGCAGCTGTGCCTGGAAAAAGTAAGGCCTCAAGTCTTAAGCCCTGTCTATCTCACAGAACCCTCAGAATGCACAAGTTAAACACAAAGGCCTTCTTAGAAGAACTCCAGCACCTTTTGATGATATGGACTGTAAAATAACAGAGATGTCTATGACCCTGAGAATACCTTGCAGACTGCCACACTGACACCAGAGGCATCTAAGGCATGTGTCAAGTGATAGACTCTTTTTGGGCACCCATACCAACACACAACCCAGACTTACGTATTGACAGTGGTACTGCACGCAGAGATTTTTCTCTAATTTGCAGAATGAGAAGGGCTAAATTGTCAGTGTCCTATTTTTTAGAAACAATTTGTCTAGTTTTGGCAGGTACTCAGAAAAACAAAAGCCACTTCTGCTTGCACAAGCCTTCCCTGGATCTCACTCAAAAAGCCTTACAATAAAGACAGACAAAAGAAAGCCAGGTTCAGACAACAACGTTGTGAGCTCCTTCATCTACTGCCCTCAGTAGTTTCAGTATTTGTGAGTTTTATTCTTAAAAACTTTATGAAGAAAGAGCAAAGGTTAGGGTATTTCTGATTGCCGCAGTCCCCTGCTAATTTGTCATACTGTGTTTTTTGTTACGGTGGGGGAAAAGAGCACATCCTTTGCGGAATTCTTATGCTTATGATTTTGTAACTACGTTTGAAGTTTTAAATAAATAACAGCTTCTTACCAGTAGCTTGAAATAAACAGTGAGTTTGTCCCTGGCCTGTGTACAGTGTTTCTTGGGTTTTGTGGTGGGTTTTGGCAGGGGAAGGGAGGTGAGAGTAAGATGTTTCCCTCTGACATTTTTCTTCTTTCACACAGCTAACAAATACAGTTCCACATGCGTAATACCCTCAAAGTTTCAGGGACTATTTCAGGGACTAAACCCTCAAATCAGTGGATCCAAGAAGGGAAACATATCTAGAAAATAAGGCTTTAGACATATCCCTAACTTGGTCCTGAGACCAGAACTTACTGTCCATAACCTCTTTGTACTGAAGACCTCCAAGATATCCATCCTTCCAAAGGCCAGTACCACAACAATGTGATTCGATGCCCCATGGTGTGGATTATCTGTGATTCAGACTTGCATGACACAGTTTGCAGTGTTCTCACAAGCAAAATACCACAAGAAAAAATCTGAATTGTTGCTGGTTTCTAATGACTAATTTTTCACAACACTAATAAAGCATTTTACAGTTTGTTGTTTGGTTGTTTCTTTTTTTTTTTCCTAAGTACTTGACCCTTTACAGTTTAAAGTAAATTTCAATCACAGAAGGCATTTAGGCTAGTTCAACTGATGTTCATTACATCAAAATCTGGTGACCTCCTCTCTGATGGTGAGGACAGCTACTCCTTTTCATAGCTAACTCCAGGTGAGACTCAGAAAAGAAGTTTACAAGCAATTAGTTGTTTTAAGACTTGTTGTTTACTACTTAAGCCCACAAGAGAATTTATTGCTCTAATAAAAATTGAATGAAAATAAATAAAAGGAAATTTAAATTAAAAGAGCTTAAGTTTTGCAAATGTGTTGTAAACAAGAAAAAGATGTAAAGGCTTTTTGCATCCTGAGGAAAGGGTGTTTTTCTTCTGTATTTTAGAGTATTTTTAAGGTTTCCTGAATATTAGTAATCTGTTTTACTATCCAATTTTATACCCTATGTTCCACAATTTGGTTCCACAATTTGCAAAAACAAATTCCCCTTTAAATCATTGCTTTTCCTGTCTAACAGGAACATACAGACAGTGAATTTAAAGTGTATGTTCCTAACGCAATATACATGTTATGATCTCAAGTATGATCCTGCTTGAGAGCTTGACTATGTATTTTATAATTTTGTGTGAAAACACATAAAACAGAAACAGAAAAATAAGAATCATATTCTCCCCATTTCTCTCTCTTATCATCATCTATCATGTTTTCTATAATATCGAGCCATCCATATTCAAGCTCTTGTTTTGCTCTCTTCATACCTACCTTCTAACTGCTCTCCTGTCTTTGTTGTTTTTTTTTTTAATCTCAATATCCTTTGGCCATTCATTCTGTTCCCAGTATTTCACTTCTATATTTCTTGCAGAACTGGAGTTTTGTTCTGTAGCAAGGAATGAGAAAAAGAGTGAAAACTGTTATCTTATATGTTTTCTAAGTTTCCTGAGGTGTAACTTCATCTTCTGCTTACTTCTATTCTTCCTATGAGGTACATTGTTCACCAGATAAATACTAGACCTCCTCAGTCACACTGAGCACTATCTAATGCTAATAATAATCTGTTTTGTTTTGTTTTTTTTCTTACATTCTGAATACTTAGCTCCATTTTTCACAGGATTTCTTCAGAAGTTCCTGCTTCTGTGAATAGTCAAACTAAATGTCTTTCCCACACGTCCGCATCTTCTATCATTTCAGATAGGTCTCACAGAACTCACAACTGCATTGTCAGATAATTTGTTAGTGTGTTTCCACAGTTCTCTTACATGTTTGTTGTTTTTTTCTTAATCATGACCTGAAATTTTAGTGCTAAAGATAGGATAAATAATGGAAATGCTGAGTGACGTATTTATATAATAACCCTCCGATGTAACCCAAGGTAGCAGATGATTACTGAAGTTTCCTCTGTGCTGATGGGCTCTGTAGTATATGTGCTCAGAATCAGTAAGGAATCATGCTGACATTTCCTTACATGCTATAGCTTATCTAACCTTGCTTCACACTTACGAACACTATTTAGGGATGAAGATACTTTTGCATTAGGTGCTGTGGCAATATACGTAAAAATATGCCGCTATGCTCCAAAGTAATTACAAAATGGGCATAGAAAGAGACAGAAAAACAAAGATGAAAGACAACAACAGAACACCGGGCTGTCCCATTTGTAGTGGTCTACCACTAGCGATCTGGGGCTTTTTTTTAGCTATCATCAAAGAAAAGAGAATCTAGAATGAGACTACAGATTTGTTTTGTGGTTAGTTACACAAAATTCTACTCAAGCATTTTGAGCATCACAAGGAAAAACACAAAGGTAATTGCTCAAAATTAGGAACAAACAATCAAGTTTGGCATCAGTAGCTAACTGGCTGTCCATCATGGAAATGGCATCCTAATAGCCATTTAGACATGAATAGACAGAATAGACAGAAGTACAGAAGATAAAAAAAAATATTGCAAAATCAAAGAGAAATAGTTCATGTTCGATAGGACAGAGAAGTTGGGTGCATCAGATGATCTGGATTAATGTGGGTAGAAGAAAATGGCTTGTCTTAGTGTCTATAGATCTATAAAAAGGCAATCCAATCTGAAAGTGATTACTTAGGAAAAGGTTTTAATTGAATATGACTTCCAGGTCAACAGCTTGAACATTTGGAAATACAGTGATCAAATAAGGAAGGTAATGAAAAAGATGTGGGTGAGAAACTAAAAAGCTCAGGCTTAGCCGTGGTAGACTTGTGCTGGTAGCTAACATTCATCACAAATTGTTAGATGCAGGCCAAAATGTGCATTATCAGCTTTGACAGAGAAAAATAAATACATTCATTTCCAGGATAAAAATCAGAAGTCAAATTTAGCAGTATATAGGGAATAGACCCTCCTAATTTCAATCTTGTCGTTAATAAGAATCTTTTCCTTTATTGAAAAGCATTTAACTTCTATAATTCTTACCGTTGCTAGCTTCATTGCAACATAATATTAAAAGAAAACAAAAAAAAAAGGTAAAGTCTGCTGAAAAGAATGGTAAGTGGACTCAGTAAAGGGGATTTTGTAGCTGAGAAATGTGGCATACATTGGCAGAACTTTACTGATTCTAAGATAGACCTGCCAAGATGTGCCTGAGCATCAACTCTTTTTGTATTTCCAAATACATCAACTGTTTCCAAACCACAGATTAACACTGATCTTTGCAATATCCACAAAAATTATTTATATCCTTGCTTTCTCTGCATCTAGATATGTATGAGTGACAGAAAAGTATTACAGATAATAAGAGGACAGTTGGATAATATTTGGAGGACAGTTCCAGAAGCTATCACTGAATTCTGTTCTCCTTCTTCCTTCAAAATACCTGTCATGCATTGCAAAGATCAGGAGCTAATTATACTAATGAGGAAAGAGAGTAAGTAATCTGGGGAAAATTGAAGGTTTCTTTCTTCTTTACTATCTACCGTTTCAGAGATCACATACTGCTCTATAGTAACAGAAAAGTATCAATACAGTACTCAGTTTTGGTGTCAGTAATCTCTTCAAAAAGCTGCAAAGCTGCTCTTTGGGTTGGTATTTTTTTTTTTTTCCACATCTTAAGCCATTATCTTGTGAATGAAGAATGGAACAATGAGGAGCAAAAAAATGGCATATTCTTTTTTACTTATTGTATATTGAACAGAGAATATGTTTCCCTTAAATTTACTTAAGAGGGTTCTCCTTCTCAGATAATCCAGCTGAACAATAAGCTAACTGAGGAATAAGTTTCATTCACTTCTCAGAATTAATGGTCTAGTCCAGAGAATAGCGTGCAGTGATTTAAATGGTTTGGAAGAAACACAGTTGAACTATGCACTGCTAGCCAAACATGAAAAGTTGACAAAAGCATTTACCAAATGATAAGAATTTTGACAGCGTACTTTGCAAGAAATTATAAACAATCTGATACCCCTCAGTCCTGCATGTTCTACTGTTCTCTACATCTGTGCAAAAAAACTGCAAAATGTTCAGTTAAGCTCGCTTTGCACAGATGTTGATTACTGCTCAGATTGTGAAGCATCAAAAAAAAATTCTTCTGCATCCCATTCACCCAAAGTGGATGATTAATTGTTTATTCAAAGACTATTCTCCTCACTACTCCAATGCATTTGTAAGAGAGCTACATGAAAAACACATTCCCTGATGGCATTATACTTTTAAAGGCTCAAAACCAAATAAATTAATTTAGCATGTTATGAAAGAATTAAAACAGTATCAACATATTTTTACTAATTCAATGAGGACTGTTTTTTTTCATAAGGACTTGCTCTTTGCTTCTTGCCAAAATACAGACTGGCCCCAGAGACTTGCAAACCTATGTGAATGACAATCACCATTTCTGAGCTCCTGTCTGGTAGAGGCCACCTTTTTAAAAAAAAATTCAGAGTAACATTTCTTCTGACACCAAGCACTCTGGGAGTTAGCTGCAAATATATTTCCACTTTTTAATGCTAGTTTAGCAGTCAGAAGCAAAGCATTAATCTTTTTAAAAATATATTTCCTTAATAAAATTAAAATTGTTTTTTTTATTTATCTGGCATTTAATATAATGCCAACAACGAAGAAAAGATACATTTATATAATCCTATGAGATTCTAAAATGTTTTGTTCCACGAAATCACATAATAAAATGTAATCGTATTACTTTTAAACTGATCTTATGGTATACATCACTTAGTTAAAAGAACTGATGTATTTAAAGAAAAATTCTTAAAATCTTACCCAGAAATTTTAAGATACTGAATCACAGAATGGCCAGAGTTGGAAGAGACCTCAAGGATCATGAATCTCCAACCCTCCTGCCACATGCAGGGCCACCAACCTCCGCATTTAATACTAGACCAGACTTCTCAGGGCTCCATCCAATCTGGCCTTGAACACTTCTAGGGACAGGGCATCCACAACCTCTCTGGGCAGCCTGTTCCAGCACCTCACCACTCTCTGGGTAAAGAATTTTTCCCTGACATCCAACCTATATTTCCCCTTCCCTCAACTTAAAACCATTTCCCCTTGTCCTGATGTTATCAATCCTTTCAAAGAGTTGATTCCCCTCCTGTTTGTAGGCTCCCTTCAGGCACTGAAACACTGCAATGAGGTCACCCTGCAGCCTTCTTTTCTCCAGGCTGAACAAGCCCAGCTCCCTCAGCCTGTCCTCATAGGGGAGGTGCTCCAGTCCCCTGATCATCTTCGTGGCTCTCCTCTGGACCCTCTCCAACAGCTCCCTGTCTTTCTTGTACTGGGGGCTCCACACTTAAGACGCAATACTCCAGATGGGGCCTCACAAGAACAGAGGGGGGCAATCACCTCCCTGTCTCTGCTGGCCACCCCTCTTCTGATGGAGCCCAGGATACCATTTGCCTTCCTAGCAGCAAGGGCACACTGCTGGCTCATACTAAGTTTTTCATCTGTCAAGACCCCCAGGTCCTTCTCCACAGGGCTGCTCTCAAGGACCATTCCTTCCAGCCTGTATGGATGCCTGGGATTCCTCCAGCCCAAGTGCAAAACTCTGCACTTTGTCATGTTGAACTCATCAGATTCACCCAGGCCCACCTTTCCAGGTCCCTCTGAATGGCATCCCTTCCTTCTACCGTGTCAACAGATACCATTATACACCAGATACCATTATTCATCATTTAATTTGTATTCTCAGAAATAACGTGTTTCTGTGGTAAAAAAAAATGGAGTTTCCAATGAGCTGCTCTTGGCACCCACATGAACCCTTGCATAGCAAGGTCCAGCAAGCTACAGTGATACTGGAGAAGGGACCCACTTGCACAAAAAGCTCTCAAGAAACGGATCTTAAGAGATACTGAAACAATTTATACCAATCCTTAAGCTATCAGAGTCAGTCAACAGCAAAATTATCTCTGACATTAACAGGGACAGGTTTTGTTTCATTAAATTCTCTTCACTGCAAAGCAACTTAGCTAGCCCACCAGAAGTGACTTCAATTTTCTGTGAGATTGCCAGCATGGCTACCACATAATGGCCAAGCCACTAGTCAGATCACTCGTACATAAGTGGAATCCTAACGTTTTGCATTTTACACACTGTTTGAAATAGGGGTAATAAGACTAAATAAATAGGCATAAACTAGTTGTTTTTGGATAGAAGGTTTACCAATGTATGGTGAAGGAGCTATGACTCAAGCAGGAAGGTATTACAACATGATTCCTCCTCCATTTTCTATTCAGCATCTCTACACCAATCAACTTGCTTAGTGCCATTGCAAAAGTACATAGCAAAATCTGAATTATCTTATGAAAATGCTAGTTGCAAACACATGTGTACTTTGCTCTCCAATTCACTTAAGTTTGCCTGTTGTGTTGTTGGGAAGATAGCCTTGACATGATAGTTAAACTTTTACTCTGTGTGATTCTGGTAAATAAAGGACCCAATATATTTTTATATACTTTTTTTTTTTTAACAGAAAACAACTGCAGAGTTACATTTGTCATAAATTCACTACAAGCCAACCATATTTTGACAGAAACACAGGAATTGAACTGTTCATTATTCATTGCATATTGAAACTATGAATACTGTATCTTCTTACTTTGATTAGAGACAACAGTTTATTTTGTAGCCAAATACAAAAAGCAGGGAGGCAAGAAAGGGAAATGTTTTGGAAAAATATATGAATATGATTTGATATATTTGTCCCATAGCTTTTATGAACCCAACTGGTAAAAAGTTTTAATGTAGTTTATGACTTCTTAAAGAATTTTTCTGTTCCATCTACATACAATAGTGAACAGAACTGAGTGCATGGACAGAAAAAGTTGTGCAAAAATCTGGATTTAAAAAATTCAAATTTGAAACATGACTAGAAAGTAATGGTAGCATTAGCAGTAATTGTACTTCCTGTGCAGACAGTAGATGTATATCATGCAGTTAGAAGCAAAACAAAATATTTATATTTATGATTATATGTAACAACAAAATAAGAATATTTACTTTTAGAAGAGAAATTAGGTACTTTAGGCTAAATAATCCCTAGAGGATTTCCTTTTGAAAGAGGAACTTCAGGAAAAAAAAAAAAAAAAAAAAACAAACATTTTGAACAGCTTATTACTGCTGAGCAGCTGAGTTCACATGAGCTTGTAGTTTTTACTTTTTGAAGTTTGTCTTTCAAGATTGCATAAATGTAAAGCTTCAGGTATTATTTCCTGTGACTGATTCAGTCTCTTGTGTTTGGGTTCCACATCAAATCCAAACTGGAATGGCTTTATTTTCCAGTTTATTATAGTGTATAAATCTGGAACAAACAGCTGATAATAATATTACTAAACATGTGGAAGTCTTCCTTTTTCATTGGAATAAAGCAACAGTAGGAATGCCAAGATTTAGGTCAGCAAATACACTTTCCTTTAGTCTAATCTCCTGCTCTAAATACAGCATAGATGAAACTTGCCCCTACATCTGGAAAGTACCAGATATATTGGGGGTACAGTAACCCAAGTCATAGAATAGTAACATGCTGATTTGCCTATGGACTCATAGCATACTAGGAAGTACAAAAAGAAAAGAAGAAATCTGTTCTATTCATAATTTGGGCCAGGAACCAAAAATAGCACTGGAGAACTCATAGGGAAAAAAAATATCAATCTTCTACAAATGTATTTGCAATATAAAAGAAAAGAGAAATGCAGAAAATGTGCACTGAATGGACACATGGGGAGAAACTGAGTGAGATAAGTATATCATATTGTCAACTCCTTTCCCAGACCTCCATAGCACAAACAGTAACAGAATTAATAGAGAAAGTGTGCTGACTACAACTGGAGACAAGGCAGAACATAGGTTATCTATCAAAGATGCAAACATTTTTCAGTGGATACAGCGTAAGTAATGTATGCCATGTACTTGAATACATCTTTCTTAGGAATTGCAGATTATTTCTTACGCAGAGAAATGCTAACCATTACAACAGTATAGCAGACCATAAGATAGTAAGATTTGAGCACAAACAACTTGACAAACTCAGAACCAAGGTTTATAATGGAGCCAGGAGAACCTCTGCATTTGAAAAAAAAAAGTATCAGATGGGGACACTATTTAAAAAAAAAAAAAAAAAAAAAAAAAGATTGACCTTGTCTATTTTATAGCTGGAAACACTAACACCTATACACCCTATAATTCTGTCTATACATACACAGCTACAGCTACCTTATGGAATAGACTGTACTATTGCAAAGGCTTGTATAAAGCATACTACAGAAGTCTGTGAATTCAATGTTATTATTAAGGATTTATATCTGAAAACTTTTGGAAATCAGATATCACTGGCACATTCGAACCACGAAATAAGTTACCATCAGAACACTTACTAGATTTCTACTGATTCATACCTTACAAGTTTTTATAGGTTTTGAAATGTTCTGCTTGTTAAAAAAGTAGTCACTACATGAAAGAGAAACACTATAAAATCATTAAGTGAATATCAGCTTACACAAGCATTTATGACTCTTTGCATTAGTCTAATCAGGCAGCGTTAATCAAAAATCTAAACAGATAATAAAAAATAAATTTACAACGTGGCGTAAAATATTTTGATACAACCAAGTGAGTCCAAATTAAGAAAATGTTTATCACAAGAAGATTTGCAAGAGGCAAGCACAGAATTGAACATTTGGACATTCATGTGAAGATAGTTCTTTTCAACAGTGGCTACATTTTTGTTATTAATTCAACAATCCAACCACAAAAAAAGTAAACAATTTAAAGTACTCTTTTGAAAAACTCATCAGAGAAGAGAGATGTACTAATTATCACAGACTTCTGCCTCATCCACAGATGTGGCTGCATGATTGAATTCAGCCCAGAAAAATGGAATGCAAACAGAAGGCATACTGGAGAGCTGGCCCTGGCTTCAGGCCCACCATAATCACAGTCAAACTTCATTTCCAAGGTCCACCACAACTCATGCCTCTTAAGCTTCCTCTGGGTCACTGTGACCTTTGTTAAATGATACAATAAGTGATAAAAGGGGAGACTGGGAACACATTTGTTGCACTATTCAAATTGAAAGCAACCAGAGGATCTCAACCAGATTGAAGTTAAATGTCACAAATTGCTCAGATATATTACTCTGTTCCAGATGCATGATTCCTTACTGGTTATAACAAAATGCAAGCTGTATTTTGTAGAGACTAAAACCAACACATTACAGAATTCAGAAACACCACCAATTTCCTAAAAGGAAACTGCACCTGCTGCAAGCTTGTCCTCATTTGACCGTACTCTCTGGAGAAAGCACAATAGTTTAATGCAACAGCCCTTCACATTTGAAGGGTGTGGTTTAGTTCAGTCTTCAGAAGAATGAGCTTTTTGGCCAAAAATTTAGCAGGTACAGAAATTGTATACATATTTCAACAACAAACAAAAGAGAAAAATCCTCTTTAGATGTCTGTGTATCTGTGTGTAACAGTGTAATTCACAGACTGTACTTTGCTACTTCCCTGAGACTGACTTACTCGTATAAATGCTGTTCTTTCAGTATTGCAGCTTTCTTCAGCAAAGTGAGCAGCAGACACACTGTTTTATACCACTGCAATCCTTCCTACTCTTTCAAAAACATTGACCCCTGAATTGTTAAAGATCGGCATGAGAGTTTAATCATGTAGCCACAGCACTGAACACTGCAAAAGTAAACAGTCTTTTACAGTTAAAATGTTCCAGTTTATTTTCAAGAAAAAAAGAAAAAGAAAAAGAAAAAGAAAAAAAGCATACACAATACTGTTTCCAAAACAGAGCAGGAGCTACCTGCAGCATGGTCACAGCTCAGCTCCTGTCCATCACAACTGCCTTCCTGTGCTGTGTTCACAACAGACAGGATCTTCTAGTTTATCTCTCAGTGTGCTTTTACTTTACAGGGAGAAGAACAGTGCATAAAATACTCGCAAGATCTTAGCAGGAGTCGCCGTACCGTGCAGAGACACTGGCTAATGGTGAGGCCTCTAAACTACTCCTGCAGGAACCTACTTGTTCATGGATACAGAAGAACAGACTGGTCCAGGAGAAAATTCAGCACCAGATTTTGAGTTCTCTTTTTCTTCAGGCTCTGTCACTTTTCAAATGCTTCGCTGTAGGAAGAAACATGCAGTTGATCACATATGAGGACAATCATTGTGCATGAAGAATACTGCAGATCTGTTTATTGGGGATCTAGGCTGACAGCCCCTAAAGAGCGCTGTCAGAGGAAATAACATGTTATGCCTTCCTACATGGGACAGATGCTTGAACAGGAACTAGACAGTGACTCTGAGAGAATGTGGAAGTCTCTCTCAACTACCAGAGATGAGCTGACCGGTAGCATCTTGTACTAGCATGAGGCAGGGTCACCCAACTCTCACCAAACAGGAATCTCAGCAGAAAAACAAAAGGAGGAACCCCTACATTGAAGAACAAGACACCAAATCCCATTCAGAACCCACAGGGGCAGAAGTTGCTGCCTTACGTAAGGGTGAGTTTGGCTCCTACCTCTCTGCATGGTAGGGATTCTCAGCTCCCAAGGAGTTCACAACTTGGAGGAGCTGCGAGATGTTGCCTCTGGCCATGGGTGTGGCTTTAGTGCTGCTATAATTTCCTGGCTCTTCTCTTTCTGTTGTCCATGTCAAGCATTTTGAAGTGGCACTGTTACTTATTTCTAAGCGCAGTTGCCACTGATGCTGAACAGTGATCCATTGTTCCTATTGTTGCTTCCGCACTCAGTGGTTCATAAAAACAATGGTTAAGATGCAACTTCGGCACAGGGAGTCCCAAAACTGCTGACTGTCAGAAGCTGGGAAAGTATACCAGCAGAAAGAATAATTCTATACTTGCCCTGCTTCTTACACTTGTCCATAAGGATATTCTGCTGACTGCTATCAGATACAAAGTCTTGGAACAACCTTTGGTCCAACTGCAGATTGCTGTCCTTATGCTCTTCCTCTGACATTTTTCTGACCAACACTCACAGTCAAAGTTCACTTTTCTTTCTACTGGCAGTACCAACGTCCTTTCTACTGATATAAAAACTGTAGTCAAAGTGCAATACTTTGGTTTTCCATGTAAATGTACTTTCCAGATTGTACTGCATCAACTGAAGTAACTGCGCCACAGAAGCGAAGCAACCTTTGCTTAACAACAAAGAAAGACATGAAATAAATATTGGAACGTATTGATATACTATTGACATACTCTATTTCAGATGTAATTACCTCAAAAGGAAAAAAAAAAAAAAAAAAAAAAGAGAGAGAGAGAAAGAGAAACTTACATTCTGTCACTTGGTCTTCATGAGGACTTCAAATCTCAACAATAGCAAAGAGAATATTTGAAATAGTAGAAAATTATTGAAAATGAGAACATTTAAATTTCATCAGCACTCTTCATTTTGATAAAATGTTAAATGGGTGTTTATTTAAGATCTTTTTTTTTTTTTCCATTTTGAAATCCTAATTTCACCAGCTGTTTTATTTTTCCCAAAAGGAAAATGAGATAAATATTTCAAAAACCTTAAAGTGGCATTGTTTTCTACCAAAAAAATGCCCTATTTTATTAAGAAATTTTGAATCAGTGTGGGTTGTTTTTTCAGAAAAAAAAAAAATAATCAGAAACTCTATATAAAAAAAAAAGGAAGATTTTTTTCAATAATCATTACTCATAAAGAATAAGAGTATGACGCATGTGCAATAGAGAAACTGATTATCAGAACTGCACAACTGTGCATTTTAAGCATATGACAGAAAATCATATAGATTCTAAAGCAAAATACAGATTGCCATGTTAATTTTGAATGGAAAGTTTTAAGGTGAGAAAAGACAATGCCAACAGGACAGTAATGCACATACCAGACAATGTAAGGGCAATGGGAAAAAGCCTGCGTTGTTTCAAAAGAAATATTCTTTAAACTATTTAATAAAACAATTGTTCAACAAATGCTTGCACTTCTCTTAAATGAAGAGTCATTCCCAAAGGAAACAAAGTTCAATAGGATTCAAAGTACTCCTGAATTAATATGCTTTGGACATAGAAAGATATGTGTTTCCCAAAGAATTAGTAACTTATCAATATGAGCGAATTAATGGAATCCATTGTATCCATTGTTATCACAATAAATAATGATAACTGAATACACATTTTACTAAAATTATTATGACAAACATTTAAATATAAATTACAAGTATTCACTGAATTAAATGAAAAAGGCAGCTACCTGGAGTATTCAAAACAACATTCATCAAAAAAATAAGTGAAGTTAATGACAAATTAACTCTTAAAACTTAGTTAATGAAGGAATCCATAAACAGATTTTTTTAAAACAATAAACTTTGTAAAAGAGGTATTTTCAAACAGATATTACCACGCAGATTATATTACTGACGCTGTGTCTACATCTTTAAACACTTGGAGAGGTTCATTTCTGGCCAACAATTCAAGTCATAGGTCATACCAGAGCTCTGGATAAACAATGCTCAAAACAGACTCGAAGAGCAATCAAGAAAGGGCTAAACATCAGAAAGAAAGGATAACAATGAAATGTTGATTTGCCTCTGTGTGGCAGATTAAGGAACCTGTATGGAGCAGATGTCAAATTTTTTTTTAGCAATACATGTACCCAAATTTGCTTTTGGCAAAAATTGCTTAACTGCTGCTGTTTTTCATGAAGTCAGCGAAGACTGGGTTAGATAATGAGCTGGCATGCACTTTTGAAATGTTTACTGTGTTCCTTAAAGTAAGGGGAACATGCTGGTTCTTAAACTAATTTGTTTTTTTGTTTTTGGCTCCCCCCTTCTCTCCCTACTACTCTGTTCTCCCTATCTTTAGAATAAACAGAAAATAACTGAATCTTTTGATTAATTTTTATTTTTTTAATTTTTTTTTAATTTTTACAATTATACAACTGAGGAATCAGTAGTTTCCAAATGGCAAACAACTGAGCCATGTCAAGAGCCATGTTAATCTCATGTGTTTGCTCCATTGTTAACAACGAAGGAAGGGGGGTGAGGAGGACAAAATAAAATCTGTCTGTTCTGGCTGAAATGCAGGACATGAACAAGGACATGAACAAGGAGAGTTTCCACAAACAATGTAGTCTTTTTCTTCTGGCTGGGGGAGGTGATGGTAGCAGTACTTTTGTGGAAAGAGAAGCTGCCCCCATCTTGCCAGTCAATACAGCATTCAGAAAATTTATATGGTGGGAAGAATTTCCCACCCATTGTTAACTAAGAACTTGATTTGAAAGTGCAGGTTTTAATTAAAATTGGCACTTCCAAGCTTCATGCTGGCATCCACCATCTTGCTAAACACTGAGCTCATTTGTGGTTCCAGCAGTTTGCAAACCCACTGTCAGAGGTGACAAACCAATTCCCATCCTGCCATCCTTACTCAGTTCTCAGACCTCATCCTATCATGAGCAAATGGGAGATTTACTCCAGTAAACACAAAGCAAGGACTGTGGGATGTGGCCTCATTTGGCTAGAATACACAGATCCCAGACTTTATTACTTTTAAGGCATTATTAACGGGCAAGAATTCTTCAGAAATGTTTGGGAGAAAAGAAGGTCAGTTATTTTCAAGGCTTCTGCATGCTTCACTACCCTCAGACATCCACAACCATCATTATGGCCAGAGATCCCACTCTTCATTTTACATTTAATTCCCTTCCTACCTATACACCCTGGGAATAGTATTCAAAGGTAGAAATTCTAAAACTAGCAATAAAACATTTGGATATATAAGATATAAAATTTGTCACTTGTATGCAAAAGGACAAAAAAGCTTACTAGATTTAATGAATATATTAGCATTTGCAATGCGTTCTGACTTGAGGGATCCCAGACGAAAAGCACAGTTACAGATGTGCTTAAGTAACCAGTAAAATATCTTCTCTGAATAGGAGATAACACATTATTTAGGACCCTTTTCATAACAATTCTTTGAAAAGAAAAAAAAAGAAAAAATATGTATTTTTTCTAGCTGTACATATCCTAAAATCTTGAAGAACAAGCTGGGAGGGTGAATTTTCTATTTTCTTTTATTTGATTAGGATTGATGCCTTTAATATGTCTAACATTGTTGGTTTCACTACAAAGGATTTCGCTTCATCTTACAGCAGAAGCAAAATATTATGCAAATTGAATAAAGGACTTCGCAAGACTATCCAGTTCATGTGAATACTAGCTAGCAAAGAAAGCTGTTGCTGGCTTTTGAAAAATCTGTCAACAATTAAGCTCATCAAAAGGAAATTCATAAGCCGATTTAGCAGAAATGTCTCACAAAGCCTGAACACTGTAAGGTACATTCATGTATTCAGCTCAGTTAAAGTTCTATTCATGAATTAAAGTAATTACCAAAGATTCATATATTTTCACTAAAAGCTTGCTGAATGCATTAATCCAGATATAGAAAGAACCTCAAGATTTCTAAATTACTGCACTTTTGAGTCATTTGCAGAATTATCTTACAACAGGAATAAATCAGCTTTCCAAGTTTTCTCACATTATTCTGAGAAATACCATCTTTCAAAATCAGGTACAAAAAATGAAAGATATCTAATACTTATGCTCAGTGCCCATTTACTGGACTTATATCTTACATACTTCTAAAAAAAACCCCAGACCTTTGTTACTGCATTTAGAGCATTCTATAGTCTTTATTTAAGCCAGAGGATGTGGGCTTAAAAAGGGTTCTATAGAGCAGGAGAGTTCCTGAAACCTCAACACTGGAGTAGGTGAGTCAATAAAATAACATCAGCACTGCAGACTATATGTCCATCTCCCAAAATCCTGTTACAGGACACACGCAAACTTGTGAAATAAAGTGCCTATGATTTGTCCAGAGTCTCATGATTTGTCCAGACCATAGTTAGCGAACCAGAGAAGTATCTCCAGAAAATTAGAAGCTTCATTAGGGAAATCCTCCCTACGCTGCCTGTTAATTTCACTAGCAAACTCCAGTTATTCTGAATTTTGCACATATACATGATTTGATCAGATCTGACATATCGTACTGCGTTAAAGACTATATTCTGGTTTCTTCCAGTAATGAATTTGTGTTGATTTTGTAAGATCCTGCTCATGACCTTAAAGCTAGTTCATAGGGTTAGACCCTTCATTTTTCTTTGTTCAGCTATTACTTTCTGCCACTGGTCTTTCATTATTCAACCTCAGGTCTTACAGGAAAAGGAGTTGGCTGATACTTATTTGCAAAATTCTTTGCCTTCTGATCTCAGGAACTTTGAAATTCTTTGCTTCAGAGTGTCAGACTAAGCCTGGATTAGGATTCTGTCTTTCATCTACTATTCAGCAAATGATTCAGCTTTGGTCTGAGACAACTTATAAAACCGGACCAAATAAATTCACATTGTATTGGAAAAAATCTATTTGGGAACAACTGATGTATGACACTTACTCAGCAGCTACTGTTCATTTCCTTTTACATATGAGCAAAGTTCAGATATTGCCAGAAATCTTCAATGTTGAAATTTAAGGTTGCAAGACTGTTTTAAAACACTGCAGTGATTGTACAATTAATCCTAAAACAAACAGACCTGAACTTAACTCTAGAGTACTCTAGGTCAAGTTTTAGAAAAAATACAAATGTGAAGGTAGAAGTCACATAGGTGTGAAAGAAGTAATTTCCACCCCCCACTAGAAAGGTAGTACACATTAGCTATACAGCTATGATTAATCCAAATACTGTTCACTGTTGCAAATCAAACTCAATGATTTTTATAGACATCTGTTTTCTCTCACATTTACCACATACATAGATGTAGTGTCACTATTACAGACATCTGACTCATCCAAAAACATCAGAAGTCAACCATTAAATCAGTGAGGAATAAGCAGCCCATTTGAAGCCATGAGGAATATAAATGCTTGCAGCCTAGGGAAGATTACTGAAGTTGCCAGGCCACCAAGCTCTTTGCATCTTGCCTTGCTGAAGATGAGGTGGTGCTCAGCATGCAAGACCTCTGTTCAGCGGTACCCACAAAGCTCATGGAAGCTAGCGGACACGACAACTATCTTCTACTCAGCCTAAGCAGTGAGAGAGCAAAAAAAAAAAAAAAAAAAATACTCCTTTTGTTTAGCAATAAATACAACAATAGGAGCTACAGGCTAAATTGCAAATCAGCATGACAAAGCTGGAGGAGGAGCTGGGCCACGCAGCCTGAAGGATCTCCCCCAGAGTAAAATACAGAAGTGGGAGTTGGACTTTGCTTTTTAGAATAACTACTTCATGTCAGAAGTAAAAAAACATGCAGGAGAGCAAGGAGACAGTCCAGAGATGGGTCCACAGAGGCTAGTGAAGACAGCAGCATGGCCCTCAAAGAAAAGCAGAAAGCTTTTTGGGCACAGTGCTGGCTGCTGGAGGACTTGGAACTGAACAAAAAAACAGTTGAGAGTGTTCAGAGAAATTTAAACTAGTGGAATATTATTTTAATTAAACAGGACTGTATCAATGACATATCTGACAGTTACCACAGTCTCCTCCCTGCGGCAGCAACCTGTGAGGCCTGGGAATTGGGCAGCACTACAGCTAAGGGGGAATAATCAGGAGACCACAGAGGTCTTTCTTGCAAAGTTCATAACATCAGCAGGACAGAGGTGCATCCCTGCCATACTTCTATCTAAATAAACTCTAGCATGTTGGTTAAAACACAGTATTTCAAACCTGTAAAGGAGCGGGAAGAATGCATTCACCACCAACCAGGTACCAAAGTAGACCTCAAACATTTCAACAGAAAAAAATCTGAAAGTTGAGTAGATGACACACTTGTCCAAGCTTCCTAGCAGGCGAAGTTTAGAGACCAACCTGTACATCAACAGCTAGCTCACAGATGAGCACACCCATGTCTTTGAAAAGCAATGTGCCCAAGACAGAAACTTGTGCCAAAGCTGAAGGTGTGGCAGATGTTCTATAGTCAGACTTCAGTCAATCCCTGCTGCAAACAGGGATGTTACAGAAACTTTGGCCATAATGGCTGTGTGAGAGCCAGTGGCACGGACAGAAGAACTGCTGCTCTAGCCTCCATGCTGCCAGCATGTCTAGCTGCTCCTGCCATCTTTCTCCTTCTCACGCTTTTCCATATCATACTCCCTTCCCCCAAAATGTTCTCACATCTGGGAGCAGGAACTTGGTACCAACCAAACTCACATTTCTCGGACTGCTCAGCTAGATTAAAATTGAATCTGAAGTAGGAACTACACTTTTAAAGCACTCTCCTCTCCAGAGTCAGAACGAGACAGTGCTGCACATAGCAGTGTGGGTCTAGGTAAATCCCACTTTGTGGCACCACCTTCCCCATGTCTATCTGTGATCCTAGCTATAATTTTGCTGTATGTGCTTAATGCAACTGAAAGGCTCTCATTGACTTCTCTAGGTTTAGTTCAGATTCTTAACATAAATTTCAAAACAGAACGATTAAGTAATGGCTGTAGGATTTATCAAGAATTTGCTGCATACCAAAATGAACAACTGAAGTACTTAAAAGTATCAAAGCAACTTCTAGCTTTAAAACCCTTTTTTATTTCTGAATTTAGCTACTTTAACCCAACTTACCAAAAGCAATTGGATTTCTTTTCTTTATCTTCTCTTACTACCTTTATCTTTCTCTACTGTAAATCCTATCTCTCTCTTCCCTGTAAATGTAAAGACCTCAATTTTAAGTGAACTTTGTGACAGTTTAGTACCATAAGGTTCTTTCCATGTGAGTTAGGTTAATTTACTTACATTTATACAACAGTATTAATTTTTTAAAAATACCTATTTGACATTTAAGCTATGTGCAGTAGTTGGCAGCCTACTGATATAATAGAGAGACCAGATTTGCAGAAAATTGGTTCTTCCTGCAAATTTTCTAAGAAATATCTCATACTGAGCATACTAAAATAGCTCTGAACATCTTCTAAAAGCTTAGCTCTTATGAAGGAAGGACAAAGCAGACTGGAGTAACTAAAGAGCACAAAGAAAGCAAGTAATTCATGCTAAGACAGTGAGGAAATCACAAGCCTAGAAAGAGCATGCAGAAAACTGGCTGTGCAGTGTCACCACTACTGAACAATACTCCACTATGCAGCTTTTTAAATACTTTTTAACATTTAGCCCATTTTAAACATGTAGTTGTCCTGAAGATATTGATTTCCTCAGATCCACGTATAATCGTTCTTCTCAGTATTTGGTCCATCTCTATTGTAAGCTCTTAAGACAGCTACAAAATATTGCTGATATTTTTGAGCTAATAGTGTGTTTAGAAGGTCGTGTCAGGTTATTGCTGGGAGGATTAAAAGATTTTCTTTCCTCCAGAGCCCTTTGTTATAAAAAAAACCAAGGAAATTTAAAACAGGATTTATTCCTTCGAACCAGGACAAACCAACAGAGTACTGTGGCAAAAGCATAAAGCAAGAGTACTCTGGGCCAGGAAATTTACAAAGAAAGCTTTCTATGAACTAAAACATTAAGCTGAAGTTTTAAAACTCTTAATGGTTCTATATTTAGGGCGGCAAAAGGCAGCTAGTTTCACAGTCACTCACTTTTGTAAGTCCTCTTTCAAAAGATCTTGTTAGAGTATGTTGTAGCTTTTTGGCTATCAGTAACAGAAGCAGACATTTCTAGCATTTATATGCTACATTTTGCAGCTGTCAAACTTTACTCAGGTCTTGCTGTCTGCTCACAAGATCATGAGCAAGAAAGACTAGCAATGAGTTTCAGCTATGACTTCAAAAAGGCCCAGTGAAGAAACATGAAAAACAGGCAGGGAAGGAGGAGAGAAAAAGGGAAATTCAGCAAAATTTGGTCTCAAATGTCAAAGCAAATCTTCCAACAGATATAATGAATTATCTCAACTGATCTTTCTTAGATACGAAGGAAATTCTCAAACCTTAGAGTCTTGACTGTGTGAAGTTTTAAGTTGCGTCTGCATCTTTATATGTGTTATCAACATTGTGTTAGTCAGTTGTTAAGATGTGAACAAGGTGAATGCTATGCCACGTCAAGCGAATGTATGCTCTGACTTAGTTTAAAATTGGAATAGATTAGCCTTATGAAATGACTGTGGATGTACCATAATTCATTGTTCATAATGTAATTTATATGGAATACATCAAAACACAGTAAATCCAATGTCTATCAAGGTATAAGATATCACAGTGCTTCCTGTCTTTATTGTTTCTTTACTGTTCCTTTATTGTTTCAGACAAATCTCTCACATACCCACAATTCAGACCCTGCTTTCTCCATACACCTGATCCTGAACAACATTTCTGGTTTGGTTTTAAAAGTAACTAAAGTGACTTTCATTTTTACATGTTGCATCAAACTGGCTTTTTGAGCAATACCTTTAGTCGTATACTCACGTTCCACTAGAACTGGGCCTATAAATATTCTGACCATTTACGCATAAATGTGTCATCCCATAAAGGATATGCTGAAAAAGAACTGATGCAACAACACTGACAGAAATATTTATATACGTTTTAAAAAAGATTTCACCACAGGTGGCTTTCATCTACTATACAATGTTGCTAGCTTAGCTACTTAGCTACATTGTCAACAGATGTTTCTAAGCATCATCAATAGGATTACTCTAGAATTTACTCATCATAAATCAGCATACTGCAATGTCCATTCTGGTGGGCAGTCTATATATTCTCCATTCACCAGACCATCCATGTAACAGTATGTAGTTCATGCAAGGATGACAGAGCTCATTTCTATTTGGAATGACAGCTTGATGCAGCATTTCAAGGCTTAGCTTAACTTGTCCCCAAATTGAGGTCAGGCAGCAACCATTCCCAGAAAACATGTTTGTTAGATGTGACTGAAAACAGTTTAGCACTTGCATTAAAGTAATAATTAAACATGAACAGTGTGCCTTGATGTTGTTTAAATGAATGACACATTCCATGCCCAGAGGAATTTTCAGCTCAGTTTTGCGACAGGCAAAACATAATAATTGATCCAAGAAGAAATTAATGAAAAGAGTACCAAGAGGTTAAGTAGACTATCATTCTGTTTGAAATATATTTTATGGTGTTACTCATATAATATACCTTGTCAAAGAAGGCGGAGTTCACTCCAGTCCAACACGCCTCCACTGAAACAGCTGGCACAAAATATCAGATGGGCTTGTTAGCAGCTTCCTCTTGAGAACTGTTATATAATCACAAGGGCTGTAAACAAGAAAGAAAAAGAAGTGGAAAATAACTGGATGAAAAACTCAAGGAAAAAATTATTTATATGCACCTACCTCTGTGATTCTAACCTGGACATCAAGAGGAAACTTGAATTTCACTCCAGCTATACAGATAGTCTAATTTCCAATAACTCTTCACAGTACAATTTTTTTTCACAGTTCATATGAGCTAGATATTTCCAGGAAACTTAGAGCAATTGATATTGCTGACATCTCTACACAGAAGTTTCTCTTCTCCCTCTAAATCACAATGCTGAACAGAGAATCCTAATTCAACTGACTCTGGAGACACACACACAAAAACAAAACAAAACAAAACACTAGGGAGTAGATGAGCACTTAGAGAAATCTAACTGTGTTTGGGTGCCTAGGAGGAACTATATTCCTTTTCTATAGGAGCTGGAATCAGCTGTAAAGCTGGTGTATAAAAGGGTACATTAGGATGTCCAATTGGGAAAACTAGAGTGCATTTTGTATTATGTGGTACTTAAAACATAGAGGGGAGAGGGAGAGCTGGAGGGCGAGGTCCTTACCCTTGTTTAGTGACCATGTCCCAGTGCCCTGCTGAATGGATCCAACCAAAGTGCGTGGCTGAGGCAAACCCAGGGCAGATCCTATACTCCTATCATGCTGCAGAGCAGGGAGGACACCCAACTCCAACTCCACCACCACAGAGGACACCAAGAATGAACACATGCTACTAGAAATACTGGCAGCTCTCAGAAACATGAGAGCTTTTCTCAAAAGTGTAAGGCACGAAGGATACACAAAGGAGCTGTGCCTGGATACAAGGACCAACCAAATTTCTACTCAATGCAACTCAAAGTAAGCTTCTGCATATTTTCCATAAGAAAGATTCATCTCATTTCACTTTGGGATCTGGTAAAAAAAATGTCTGCAGCTAAGGTGGACATCTGTTTGGACCTCTGTTTCCAGAGGAGACGCTCTATTCTATAAGAGAGTGACCAGTTATTCTGTAACAGCTATAAACTGAGTCTAAAAGATGTATTCAGATGCAGAACCCTGTATAGCTAGCGGAATCCCAACCTCAGATGGTTTCATTTCCAAGGGACATTTCTGATGTGCCCACTTCAAGAACTGGCTTCCTCAATCTTAATAGTGCTTACCAGTTCAGCACCTAAATAATGGGGCTTCCCATTATGCATGGAGTTCAGGCATTTAATTTAGAAATTAAAATAGTTTAAGGGCTACATTCAGCACCATAAAACATAATTATTTTACTTCTAGCTAGATGTGAAAAAGCACCTGGGCCCTTGGAAGCTTTGCCTTGCACCTGGGGCCCACACAATGTGAGGGCTAACCATTTCTGATGGACAAGAAGAGATGGTTTTTTTTCAGACATCTGATGAGGTTACTGTACCCAAGCTTCCCCTCACCCTCCATGCACTGATATTTGAGCTGTTAGCAAACCAGCTGCAGAGCCACTGGAGTTATTTAGCACTTTAAGGGTGGGGTAAACAGCTGGAGGTGATAACCACATTAGCTGTCTCAAGCTGGCATCAACATATAAATCAATCAGAGGCCTCAGGCACACTGAAATGGGATGTGCAGACAGCAGCAGACTAAGAGAGGGCTTAAGCTAGCCAGTAGGAAACATGGAAACAAGTGCAATATAAGATCATACATGCAAAGACATTTACAAATGTGTCTGGAGACTGTATGCTGTCACTCAAGTGTCAGGGCATTCATCTGTCTCCACTTTGGTTCCATGCCCTTCCTTCACCAAGAGATTTTAACCTACGTTTTTCAGCAGAATGTCAGGCCACCAAGCTGCCACAGTTGTTTTCCATCATCTTGCCCACCTCCCATGCACATAACAATTTTATTTTCTGCCTTTTAAAATACATATATTCCAAATTCTAAATAACTATCAGTCTCAGCTTATAGTAGCCTAGCTCTCCTTTCTCTGTTAAGTGTCCTAAAACACATTTAATAGAAATCATTCTTGTTCTTGTCCTCTGAATATGAAAAAAAGGAAAATAAACCAGGAGCATTCATAGAGGGATGCCAAGAACAAAAACACCAACCCTAGCTAGTGTTTCTCCTGGGTAAAAGATTTTTGATTCTGCAAAAATAGGCAAAAGATCTGAGCACAAATCTTTTGTTAGAAAGGTAATGTCCTTTATGAGTAGTTGATTCAATATCAGAAAACAGACTTTTTCTTCATAAAGCTGTATGTAATATGAGAAATACTCCACACACACTTTTTGCTCTAACCACAAGTGGAACAGGAAAGGGGATGAGAACACTTTTCTCTGTTTTAAACTGTGGCCCACAGACCAAGAGCTTGATGTGGTCAGGACTCAGGCAGACAGCACAAACTCAAAAACAGACCAATAGGTCCCATGGCAATTTCACTAGCTGAAACTGGCCCAGAAAGTTTTAGCATAGGAGGAGAAAAGGTAGATGGGAAGGCAGAGGAATATCAGTGACACCTAGAGACGTCTTAAACACTAGAGAGGCATTTAAATATAATTCCTTCCATCCATCTAGCCCACTAGCCCTGGTAGTTCAATTGCCTGTGCAGAGAATTGTGCTATGTTGCCAGAAATCCACATGTCTATGGCAACAGGTGGAGATCTTCAGCCACCACCTTCTCTGCACTGAATGCTTATTTTCTTGGAATGAAAGCATCAGCTGCAATGGGCAGAAAAGCAAAAGTATCATGACCAATCATGCATTCTTTTCATACAGTAGGAGAGCACTTTCCCTCTTCATTATGCTCAGCATAGGCAGATAATGCAACTTCCCTCCAGAATCCCATGCACTGTGTATATGGGTTGAGTCCAATATTAACCTACAGAGCCATTCTAAGTAAAAACACGTTAAAGAGAAGTGTGCTTTAAAATAGAGCTATAATCGTGTACTGTACTCAGTGTGCTTAAAATGTGCACGTAATATAGTTCTGTGCAATAACCACTTGGTACTCAGGTTTCTAACACAAAGAAAGATATAGAATGGAATTTCATTTCAGTCTGGAACTAATACTGGAGTACTGCCAGTCCCATGCAATCTGTAAAAATTCTTTGTGTCAAAATGATGTGTCCCGTTGTCTTGATGCCTTGATCAAGGTTTCTAAGTTATTCATTTCTCTGACATCTGCCTCATTAACAAACTTAACTGAACATATGTTAATCTAACCGCACCTCAGGAATCTACTCCCTTGCAATTTTTCCTCAGCATATGTAGTAGTTAATGCTGTCCCTGTGCATCTAGTTCTCTTCCATACAAATTTATGTCATTTGAAAGAGTAGGGAAAATGTAAACATCATTGCAAACGCTTCCCTTTTGCTTGCAACTATCTTATCATCACCTACAATCACCTTACCAGATTACATTCACTACATGCAACCCAGTGATGAACTGAATGCATTAAAGTAACATACAGCCTACTGTAAATCATTCTAAAGTTCTCAATCACTTAGGTCATCAGAAATTAAATTAGCAGCCCCTTGTTATATACTTAAGTTTCTGGGTTTTCATTCAGATTTTCCATCTGAACTAAACTGAGGTAATCAATTTCTGGTGTTATTCATGAATTTTTCATAAACATTTACTTTTCAGTTTCCTTACATTATTTAGCATGGGAGAATCAGAATGGCAGTATGCCAGTAGGTGTGGAATAATGATAACACACATAAGGGCTCTGTATTTTTATAAAGTCTCTCACAATCTTCTGAAAAGCCACTGAAAAACAAAGGGAAAAACTGATCCACACTATAACACTGTAAACCTGCTTAAGGTTATTGAGCAACCTCTGCACACCTGGTGGAATACCGGCCCTCCTTCCTTCCGCTATAAGCTCTCGCCAGCAGATGGTGGGTGCTCTCGTTCAGAAAAGCAGCACAGTGCACCTGACAAGGGAGGAATCTTAAGAAAGGATGTGCACAACGATGTATCTACTTTCCCCTGGCTGGTACATCAGCCAATGGAGGATTTGATCCAGGAAGATAGGAATGAAGGGTTAGAGACCTCCAGTTGTTAGAGACTGAACACATATGAAAGCTAAGATTTTTGAAGCCAAATTCCTATTAAAAACAATAGAAATTTGGGTGTACAAATCCCTTAGTCTCTGTCCAGCCAAAGCAATTCCTCTCCCCACAGCTTCTAGCTGCTACCCATTGGTTAGCACTGCTGGTGCAGTTTTTTAGAAGGATTTGTTGCACAAAGAGAGAGACTTATTAAAAACAGAAAAGAATGTGTTGTGCCTCTGTAGCCAGAATCACAGTTCAAAATCTGTAGGCCGGATTTTCCTGAATGCTCAAAAGATACAAAACTGTTACAAACCCATATGAACCACTTAAGCCCAAGTATACGTCTGTTTTTCGTCTCCAGTGATTCACAGGAGGCATGTTTACTACTGTAACTGACACAGAAAGCTTCCAGAAGAGACAAATAAAGTCATGTTTTCATTAATATTTTTTTCTTTTTTAAATACATTACTCCATTGTTTATTGGTTCAGAGGCTATGATTCACTTAAGGATAACTTCATCTTATATAGGGCTATAAAAATGAAATATTTTCACCTTATTCCATGATTATTCTCTTTTGCTATAAATAGCTAGAGTTGTCAGGCCAGAAGTCTTAAAATCCCTCTTTTGCTTTCCCAGTTCACTCTATTTCTAGCTTGACTAAAGCACAAGGTGGATAGTAACTTTCTTCTGAGTTAAAAAGGTGCAATTCTTGTCTCTGTCCAAGGTGAATTTCACCCAAGGCAGACCAGCATGTCTTAGAGCATGTTTGTGACCAGATTGTGAAGTATTTGTACAACCAGCTCTTCTATTAGTTTCTATTTAAGTAATGTGACCTCAGATAGATATTTGTGCATTTGCCAGGAATAAAGGGGGGGAAAAATAAAGCAGCCCTTTAAAAATTTTTTTGTAGAGGTTGAAGGACAAGTCAGCTGATGAGTATGTTTATTGCCATTAAATTATTTGGGAAATGCACAGGGATCA